ACTGTTGTCTCCCCAGCTCCAGTACTGGGCTTGGCCGTGGTTCTTTGTGTCTCTGCAGTTGTGGCATTAGATACAGTAGTGTCTACTTTCATTGTTGTCTGACCAGCTGCAGTGGTTCCTTCGAAACGGGTTGTTTCTTTTCCTAGAGTAGTCACATCGGCCACTGTTGTCTCTACCACTGTTGTCTCAGCAGCTCCAGCACTTGGTTTGACCGTGGTTCGTTTTGTCTCTGCAGTTGTGGCATCAGATAGAGTAGTGTCTACTCTGACTGTTGTCTCACCAGGTGCAGTAGTTCCTTCGAAACGGGTTGTTTCTTTGCCTAGAGTAGTCACATCAGCCACTGTTGTCTCTACCACTGTTGTCTCAGCAGATGCAATGGTTCGTTGCTCTGTGGTTATTTGTGTCTGTGCAGTAGTGAGATCTGCCACAATTGTCTCTGCCACTGTTGTCTCAGCAGCTGCAGTGGTTCGTTGCTCTGTGGCAATTTGTGTCTGTGCAATAGTAAAATCTGCCACAGTTGTCTCTACCACTGTTGTCTCAGCAGCTGCAGTGGTTTGTTGCTCTGTGGTTATTTGTGTCTCTGCAGTAGTGGAATTAGCCACAGTAGTGTCTACTCTGATTGTTGTCTCAACAGCTGCAGTGGTTCCTTCAAAACGGATTGTTTCTTTTCCTAGAGTAGTCACATCAGGCACTGTTGTCTCTACCACTGTTGTCTCAGCAGCTGCAGTGGTTCGTTGCTCTGTGGTTATGTGTGTCTGTGCAGTAGTGAGATCTGCCACAGTTGTCTCTACCACTGTTGTCTCCCCAGCTCCAGTACTTGGCTTAGCCGTGGTTTTTTGTGTCTCTGCAGTAGTGGCATTAGCCACAGTAGTGTCTACTCTGATTGTTGTCTCAACAGCTGCAGTAGTTCCTTTGAAAGGGGTTGTTTCTTTCCCTGGAGTACTTACATCAGCCACTGTTGTCTCTACCACTGTTGTCTCAGCAGCTGAAGTGGTTCGCTGCTCTGTGGTTATTTGTGTTTGTGCAGTAGTGAGACCTGCCACAGTTGTCTCTACCACTGTTGTCTCTGCAGCTGCAGTACTTGGCTTGGCCGAAGTTCTTTGTGTCTCTGCAGTAGTTACATCAGCTACTTTTGTCTGTACCACGGTTGTCTCAGCAGGTACAGTAGTTGCTGTGATTGTGGTTGTTAGTGTCTGTGCAGTAGTGAGACCTGCCGCAGTTGTCTCTATTACTGTTGTCTCCACAGCTCCAGTGGTTGGCGGGGTCGTGGATGTTAATGTCTTTGCAGTAGTTATATCAGCAACTGTTGTCTCTACTACTGTTTTCTGAGCAGCAGCCGTAGTTGGTTGATCTGTGGTTGTTTGTTTCTCTCTAGTAGTGACATTAGAAATAGTTGTCTCTACAGCTGTCGTTGTCTCCACAACCTCAGTTGTTAGTCGCCCTGTGGTGGTTACTTTCTCGGTAGAAGTGATATCAGCCACAGTTGTCTCAGCGGCTGTAGTAGTTGCTTCCGCTACGGTGGTTTCTGTCTCTGTACTAGTAATATCAGCCACTGTTGTCTCTAGCGTCTCTGCAGTTTTTGGTTGATTTGTGGTTGTTTGTGTCTCTATGGATGTTAGATTAGCTGCAGTTGTCTGTACCTGTGCTGTTGATTCGACAACTGCAGCAGTTGGTTGGGCTGTGGTTATTTGCGTCTGTGTAGTAGCTCTCTCCACTGTTGTTATTTCAGCAGCTACAGCTGTTGGTACAACTGTTTCTGTTTGAGTCTCTGTAGCAGTGGCAACAGTTAAAGTTGTCTCTAACTCTGTAGCTGTGACAGCCAATGTAGATGTGTCAGTAGAGTATCCTGAAAGAAAAAAATACAATTTGAAGGGTAAATCTTTGATCAAGTGCAGTGCAGTTTTTACTGGTTTAAAGTATATTTCAGAGCTCATTTTGTCCCTTTTTGGTGATGATGGTAGTTTGCAATGGGAGAATCAGTCACATACAAGATAAACGATTTCAGTGATGGATTTGTTAATCTGATTAAAAGGGTAGGGATGTCTCTTTTGACAATGTGCCCTAAATAAGCATAATCGAAATGCTCCCTTAAGACTAGAAACAGTCAAGTTGGCTTGAACAACAAACTGGGAGAGCAACTATTGTTGCAGTCATCAAGTTCTAATGAGACCAATTCAGGTCTTTTGCTTCGAGCTCAGTTGCATTGTTAAGCAGCATTCTTACATCATGCACCAATGTATGATTTGATGCATATAACCACTCATGTGCAAAACATACGCTGAAGTAACACATCCTCTCTAAGATTTTAGCTAGTCCGTCCCCCTTTTGTCTCCTTTTCGTCTCTCTTTGTAAGAATCTTAAATCCCTGATAATTTGTTGCAATGTAAGCACAGTCGCTGCTAGCACAGCTCTTAATTATTTCTTGACTAATAACTGTGAGAGCAAAGCAGAGAATACTACGAAGTATTGTTTTATATCATGAGTAGGAAAATAAAAGAAACATCGGAATTCAGGAATCTGTTCTTTACAACAGTATTTGTTATAAAAGTGTTCTTTATTATGAAAGTCAACTGTGATAATAACCAAAACAGTGTCATCCGATGAGTGTACGTACAGTGTGGGCATAATCTTCAAAATGGCGATTATTTCTATTATTGATCATCTCTAGTGAGAGATATCTTCAAAAGTCATGAATATTAAGCCATAATAAATTTACATGAAAATGACATATGACTAAACGAGGTTAAATTTGATGTATGTCTAAACCCATGAGAAGTGAGTTTTTGGGTGAAGTGAGAGTATGGTTCCTGTGGCAGTTTAATTTCTGGTCTGCAACCATAGCAAAGCGCACAGAAGATCATACACAATATATACTGTAGGACAAGCAGATACGCACGATTATGGTACATTATTGTGTATGGAATTCAACTAGTGCGTTAGATTCGGTAACGCAGATCAATAAGATGAAGTTGCAGCCGCAGTAAATTACAGTGTATTGAACGCACTGCTCGAACTGCTCATCCAATCCTTTTGTTACACATCTTTGCAGCTAATTCTTTCTGGTTTGTATTTTTAGGAATAAGCACGGTTTCGCAAGAGTCAAACGGCTACCTGTTTCTTGAAATCTCAGTCACCGAAGCGAATTAACTGATGCAACACCATTTTGCAACAGAAACCTATCTATGTCCTCTGGAAACATACGGGAATCGTCAGATGAAGAACCAGACTGCAATCTTTTATGCATGGAGCCTCATTCCCAGCACTTTGGTGTTGTTTAAAGCAGTTTCATTTGTCTGAAAAACGGATCCGACAAGTGGAACCTTAACATTCCAAAGCACAGAAGGTGCATAAATTTCACTTTCCTCGAGCCGACTTTCGATCAGCGAACTTATCCAAGGGGGGTGGGCAAATTCAAAAGCGAACGCGTCTTTGGGGTCATTCAAAATGATGCTTTGGAGAGATAAATCAAAAGTCTTACTCACGGTCCTTGCTTTTATTTGCTGGTATCGTTTTTGTATGGTTTTTGTTTTATATTCGATAAATAAATATATCGAATACTTTCTTTCCTACTCACCCATTCTTTGTAAAAAAAAAAACCCAAAACGAAACAAAAAACCCTACAAATTTCCGTCTCGAGGAAGTTCCCCTGCTGGATACACCACTGCTATAGTGGCTTTTGCGACTGAAAAAAATATTACGTGGTCTGAAGAAGTGAAGAATTTGACATAAAAGCAACAGATGGAAAGGGTTGCTGCTGACAAGCTGGGCTCAATTCATTCCCTTTGCAATCAATTTCAAACTGTCACTATTCAAATCAGCTTTCAGTGACAAATATATCTCTTCTTGTTGCTGTGGAAATTAAGTTAAAGTTCAGAACAGATTCCGCCAAGACTTGGGGCTGTGTGGGGACTGTACTTTCTTTCAGTGTGCGTTCAATTTACTTTCTTTATCCAACGAAATTCCTCTAATGTTGTTTACCATGAAGCCACAGAGTTTTGTATGGGGAAATTCCACATGAAAACGAACGAGAAATTAACCTTTAATATGGCATTGAAACCGTGACTTTTGCAGCATAAGTGATTCATACGCAATGAATAAATACAGGTTGAAAGCGGATATTACAATGTACATTCCAACTTTCTCTACAACAGAAAATTCAGTTGGTTGGCCTGCAGACATCAAAGGCTTCTTCAATGTCACACCCAAGACCCCAACATACGGGGGCTTACGTCCCCTGGAATGAAGGCATCCCCCTCACACACACACATACATATTTTGATTCGGTGCTGCGAAAATAGAACTTATCAGATTTCCTCAAATAAGTAAAATCTATTCATTAGCATTGAAAAGGAGCAAATGGAGGAAAGGGTATAAATGCGTTGCTTATGTACGGTAAGGTTGTACATCTGTATCACAATGAGTGCCTCCAGTGACATAAAAGTACCACAGCACCTCCCATTTCAAAATTTCCATGGCCGGGCAAGTTTTGCATTACGTCATCTGCCATTCCCCCATATCCAGCACAAATTTACACCACCACCAGTTTTTTCAGTATAGGCTATTGAAGCATTAAACATCCGCATCGTAACGATTTCCAATTTTTGGGATTCAGAAATGATTCCTCCCCATCGGGACGACTGAAATGCAGATAAAAATCAGAGTGTCCGATACCCTAGAGCGAGATTCGCGCGCTCCAGTCGCCACACTAGATTGAAAGATTTGCTTGGGTTGCGCCATCCACGTTTTTGTATGGAGAACCAGAACTAGACAACCTCCTTTTCTGCTGGTAGATGTTCATGCCTTTAGAATTCGCCTCAACTGTTTTCAAAAAGCTCAATTTTCTGCTGGCAGAAATTTGCATTTTACTTTGACGACTCTCGCGGCGCCCCAAAAGTGGACAACTAGAAACTTAAAATATCCATCAGACAAAATTAATGTGGTGGTCTAAACGTGGACAACCCAGTTTTCGTATTTCATGCCAGTATATTTTTAGGTTTTTAGATTTCGTGCAGAGTATTTTTAAAAATAGTTTTTTTCTAACAGAAATGTGCGTTTTATTTTGACGACTGTCACGGCGCCCCAAAATGGGACAAATGACAACTTTAAATTCTAAAAGTGGACAACCCAATTTTCTCATAAACTACTTGTAAAATATTTGTTTTCAAAAAATGGATTTTCTGCCAGCAGAAATTGGATTCTCCTTGTAATTGGATTCTCTCTCGCAGCGTCCAAAATCTGGCCAACTGGAAACTCAAAACGAACATTGCACCCCTTCGTTCAATATTGAACGGTCTTCAGACGTCTCAACATCGCATTAGAAAATTCGTTCAGAAACTTTTCCGAACATGCAAGTTGCGAAGCGGCCCAGTAAGCCTGTTATGAGTTGAATTTGAATGATATCTGGTACACTGAGTTCTTTAAATTCACGTGAGCATACACTGCAGAACCTCTAGTATTAAAAGCAACTCCTTTTGGTGTTATCAAATGACCACTCCAAATTGTGTTACTGTAATTTGCTGGTGTTATTTTTATACTCCTACAAGTGTTACAATGCACGAGAGGGTGTCAAAATTAACATCAACAGTTTCTAAATAACACCGAAGATTTTAACGACAGTGAAAAGCGTTGGAAAGATCCTCTGCAACATATCGGGCGTCTGAATGTTTCATTTTTGTGATTGGCAGTTTTTAGACGTACATAAAATTGTGAAGCTGCTAGGGGCCAACAGGAGCACTTCCAAAATGACACCACCCCTACCCCCAAAAATTCACTCTGTTGCTCTTATGTCATTTATATTTCTTCCCAAACCGGGTGTTGGCGGTACAACGATGGGCTACCAATTACGCCGCTTTGCAATTACAAAAACCTGAAAATGATGAATTGGGTTGTCCAGTTTCGGACCATCATATTAATTTGGCCTGTTTGAATTTGAAGTTTCTAACATAAAAATGAGAAATGTGGTTTTTCCTCTTTTGGTCCTCAATACTTGATGGTGTCACGTGGCACTCAGAAGTAGATGATTAGCGACGGATCTGAGTATAGCAGTGTAAATGAGAGGTAGATTATCAGAACAAGTTAAACTGTAGTGGGAGGTAGGTATATATCGTTCACCTTTTGAAGGAAGATGGGTTATTGAATCATCCCCAACTTTTTCTTGGTGGGAAAAAACATAGGATGGATTCTTAAGAATCTTTCAGACTTCCAGGAGCCAAAATGTATTCTATATCAGTCAACAGGACAGCACAATTATTTTTTTTAATATCCATAAAAGCCGTTTTGATGTATGGTTTTTCAGGATATTACACCTGTGCATATGTATCATGAACATCGCCCTCTAGTGTGTCATGGTGTAAGCACCCCATCCTCCCTCCACCCATCCACCTTACAAATTTCCATGGCCGGGTAAGTCATCCCCTCCAAAATAAAGGACCCATTCTCCAGTTCCTGGCACAAATTTACGCCACAATGCGAATTTGCACGCACGCAAGATACAGTACCGAATTTAATATTAAATATCAATTATAATGCTGCTGAAAAATTCGATGGAACCTTGGGTGGAAACGGCACACTGCCGTGTAGCTGGTATCAGACGATATTAGTGCCACCATTTGTAAGTCTGACCTCATTGAGAGCTTCGTAAATGAATATTTTAGTAGAAGGGTTTGGGCCCAAGTCGTCTTAGTTATGATAACCGGAATGGAAAATACCAACCGGCCCACGAGCCACAAAATGCTCTAATAGCAGAAAATTTGACAGCTTACACATCGTGATTCGGTCCATGCAGGCAATTTTGGATCTATTTAATACCGGCCTTCAAACCTAAATGCAAACCACACATTTTCTGCT